AAGGAAGGAGAAGGGCTCGCAGCATGAGCGTCATCCATAGGAAGTGTTTTCTCACTTTTCCCCTTCCTCTCTCTGTCTCTAGTGAGTACACATGCCCCTCTGGGAAAGTAAAAAAAAAAAATACCTTTCCACATCACAGTATTCTTTCAATAGAGTGAATAAAGCAACTAAAAGAATGGGAGAGCATTTCAAATCTTATCTGATAGAGGATTTGTAGTTAGGATGTACAAAGAAATCTTACAACTCAGCAATAAAAAGATGACCCTGGGGTCAAATTGACTGTAGTGATGGTTGCACAACTTTGTATATAGTAAGAATCACTGAATTGTACATTTTAAGTGTGTGAATCATATGGTATGTGAATCATTATCTTAATAAAATTGGAATATATAAAGATTTCACACTAAAATAACTTTCTAATAATATAAACATAGCCAGTATATTTGCAAATGACAACATACACATGATATTTTACTGTACTCTTTAGCCAAGTATGTGTGTGTGTGTATGTGTGTGAGTGTATGCATATATACACGCATACACATATATGTCAAAAAATATATTTGAGAGATTTTTGAGATAGGGTATGTATGCTCACTGAAGCGACAAGAGAAAGACAGAGAGACAGAAAGTGAGAAATCACCTCCCAGGAGGATGATCACATCATAATCCCTTCTCTTCCGTTCTTCTCTCAGGATTTTGGGCATATATGCAATTGTTCCCAGCACAAGTTTTTAAGTCTCTGGGTCCAGGACTTGAACTGCAGTCAACTATATGGGAGTCCAGCAATTGGAGAATTGCTTTATCAAAATTATTTCCTAAATTAAAGCATGAAAAACTTAGCTATTATGAAAAGACACTTATTTCCAGATTTATAAATCCATGCCTTGAGTTGTGACCTTTCTTTGAATATATACAATTCAGGCAATTTAGAGATTACTGCAGAGCCATAATAAGGAAAGAAGAGCAAATAAACTTACGTCAGGTTCTAGAGTCACACAGCGTTGAAAGGCTTTAGCTGAACCTCCATAGTCTTCCAAGGCCAAATAGGCACAGCCTAGAGAAAACCAAACCCCGAGCTGCAAAGACCAAAGTAAAATAAAACTCATTCAAGAACACACATTTACAGGTTATCATCTGAAAATTATTTAATATAGTCAGTTGTCAGAAAAGTCATGATGCATTTTTCTGTTTTCTGATGCAAAATGCATCATGACTTTTCCAATGAACCAATACTATTAACAAACCCACTGCTATAAAGAATAATACATGCATGTCGTACATTTAATGTAGGAAATTTAACAATGGAGATTAGTTTTTCCATATAACTTTTCAAGCTAATTTAACACTGAAAATATGTGCAATATCAATGCATATCTTTTGCTGAGAAAGACCATACTTCAGGGTAACCAATTTTCCTAAACACAATGGAAAGCTCTGTTTGTTTATAAGCGTCTTTAGGAGAGCCTGATATTAGAAACCTGTGCATCTATTCCCTAAAAAGTATACAAAGTATCAGGAGAATAACAACTGATGAATGTATTAAAAACAGAAAAGGACAACTTATTGCTTTCTTCTTTTGATTAGACACAAGTATGGCTGAAGTTTAACCCAGAGTCAAATGGCCCTGGTACATACCTGCTTAGGCATGTCTGAAAATAATTTAGAAAAAGAAGTCTCAGAATCTGGATTACCAAATAGTCATTCACAATGTAAAGTCTGACTTAAGTCAATAAGACTTGTAAACACTGAGTTTTAAAAACAGGTAAAATAGGAAGTACTCAAATTACAAAAGGATTCTTTACCTCAGAGAGTTGCCTTAAAATTCAATAGCCCCCATCAAAAGAGAGATAAAACTGATTTAAAAATGCAATGAACAAGAGGAGAATGGAGGAGAAGGGCAGTGTGACCATCCCCCCTGGGGAGTGATTTCTCGCTTTCTGTCTCTATGTCTCTCTCTGTCTGTCTGGCGAGTGCAGGCGCCCTACAGCGAAAACCTCTAAAAAGAAAAAAAAATGCAATGAAGTTAGTCAGAAGTGCAGTTGAGTTTTTTCCCTTTTAGACACCATCAGTAAAGCCCGTAGTAGAATGAAGTCTACTTTCTTCCTGATCTCCGGTACAGAGGCAGCTAGGCACCAGATAGATTTGGCTGAAACTTCAGGATAGGAAAGAGAATGAGGGGCCCTGTTACCTGTGCAAAGCCTTCCACAGAAGCAGTCTACATCCCTCCTCCCTCAGCCAGTTCTACAAAACTTATTCCATATGGCCAGCTAAGGCCTGAAAGTTCTTAAAGCAGATAAAGATTTTTAGCCCATAATTAGAGATAAGGCTTAGAAAGCAAACATCCTTGGGCAATTTAACACTTGCCATAAATTCACAAGGGGTTATAAATAACTGCTAACAGCCTTTATAGAGAACAGATTTTTATTGGAGGAATAGGTAATGCATGAAAAGAGGAGGGGGGGTGTCTGGTGGGAGTGGGGGAGAAGCAGAGGAATTAGGTTGAAACAAAAAGCTAGAAGTTGACTCTTTTGAATCATGGGACTTTTAGCAACTTAAAAATGAGCTCACCGCTTTGCTTTTATCTGGTTATTTATAGAATCAAATGAAAAGAGCTTCAGTGCACCAAACCACACTCACTAAGCATAATACATTCTGAGAGGACCTAAAGTCTGAAAGGACCAGACAAGCTTTCTAAATTCCAAGCAAGTTGAATGCTTTGAAATTTGTGTATGGTATTTCATCAATTTTTTTTTTTTTTGAGAGAGATTTTTGCAATAAGGGCATGTGTACTTGCTGGAGATAAAAGAGACAGAAAGTGAGAAATAACCCCCTGGGGAAATGGCCGCATTACAATCCCTTCTCCTCCAGTCTCTTGGGATTTGGGGCACGTACATACACATGCCCAGCATGTTTCAAGCTGCTGGGTCTGGGACTTGAACCACAGTCGACTACATGGGAGTCCAGCGACGTAACCATTATGCCATCTGCTGGTCCCAGTATTTCATCAATTCTAAGGTACACTTCTTTTTCACCATTTAACATTTCTGAAACAGTGTTGTACCTTAAAAACCAGTAACTTGTAATGGCACAGCCAAAATGACACAGGTGGGGGGGGGGGGGGGGGCTGCTGCTGCAGGATGTAAGAGGCAATATGGGAGGCCCAGGCTCAGAGCCTGGGTCAACCTGAATAGGCCAGGTACACCACACATGCCTAGGATCCTTGCAGGCTAGAGGCTAGAGAGAGGATCGCAGTATGACAAAATCTCATTGAGGGTAACTGTGTGTAGTCTCTTCATGAAAGAAAGATACAAAATAAACTTACATTTAAAAGGAAGGGAAAAAAAAACAATAGCTTGTCAGACTTTTATAGGTGACTTTTTTTTTTCTATACTAAGTGGTACTTAAAGGTGCCTCTAGGGGCCAGCAGTTAGCGTAATGGCTATGTCGCTGGACTCCCACGTAGTCGACCGAGGTTCGCGTCCTGGACCTGGTGGCTTAATACTCACACCGGGCACATGTGCGTGTGAGCCCAAGATCCTGAGAGGAGAATGGAGGACTCAATGGTAATGAGTCCCAATGGTAATAATGGTAATGAGTCTAACTAGTCTTCTTTTGGCCCCCTCTGTCTGTTCTACTCTTGTTGACAAAAGCCATCTCAGGGGGCTAGAAGAGGTGCCTCTTACAATTGAAAGCATCTTATGTACAATGAATTATGGTAGCAAGTTTACTTGGAATGAGAACTATCTCAATCTGGGGCTAAATCAAGAACAAGGCTCTCAAGGCTCTCAAAATGAAGGTGCACTGCTGGTTTTCTGCATCAGCAAAGAACAAATACTATTTCCCATGTATTATAAAAACTACACATATAAATTCAAGATCTAAATAAAGAACTTAATTTTTTTCAGTCCACCTGAAAAGATTTTAAAAGGCTGCAAATGTCCTAAATTAGCTTATGGCACTAAAACAGGCTAGTAATGGGATTACTATTTATTACAAAAATGTTTAAGCCAGTTAATGCTTCATAATCAGAGTCTTAGAACTAAAACAAATTTAATGAAAATCAGATAGATGACTTAATTTAATATATGTTATTTATGGTATTTTTTAGTTATTTGTGCTATTGGTTTAATAATTTACATTTGAACAAAAATCTTAGAATCATTAGCTATTAGACTTCACTTATTGATAACATACTATGATGAGAGATAACCTTTACATATTTTCTATTCTTTCAAACCATGCAATGGCTTTTTTTTTTTTCCTGTTTTAATTTGTTAGAGGGTATGTGTACTTGCCAGAGACAGACACAGAGAGAAAAAAAGTGAGAAAGCATCCCCCATGGAGAGTGGTCATGCTGTATTCCTTTCTCCGTTCCCCCCTCCTGGATTTTGAGCACACACGCTCATGTGCTTAGCATTTTTTCAAGCCGTTGTGTCTGGAACTCAAATAGCACAACCAGCCATGTGGGATCCGGCTCACACAACCCACCAGGCCACAATCCCTCCCATCTCCTTCGCTTATGAATGATCCACTAAATCACTCTTACCTTGCTTCTCAGTTGAGGTTATCAGAATTTGAGGAACTAAGGAGAATATTCGGTGCCTCTTTTTTTTTTCCTTTAATTTCTTTTTTTAAAATTCATGATAGAGTATGTGTGTGTGTGCAAGAGAAAGAGAAACACCTTCCCCAAGGTCTGAACATGCTAAATCCTTTCTTCAGGTCCACTAGCTCACTGGGCCCTACGCACACACACCTGGAACGTTTCAGGCTAATTAGGCCAAGAACTGGAGCCAAGGTCACCATGTATCATCCAGTTTGTCTTGAGCAGCGCGTTACTGCTATACTACAGAGCCAGTCTACTTTTTCCATTTTAAACTACTGCTTAAACTATTAGGACCAATAGTGACATTTCTGCTACAGGGTGTATATGCTTGCCAGAGAGACAGAGACAGAAAGTGAGAAATCACCCCTCAGAGAGGATGGCCACACTGTAATCCCTTCTCCTTCATTCTCCTCTTGGGATTGTGGGCACGCATGCACATGTGCCTGGTATGAGTGAGTTTTAAGTGGCTGAGTCTAAGACTCAAACTGCGGTCAACTATGTGGGAGTCCAGCAACATAATCATTATGCCATTGCTGGTCCCAAGATGGATATACTTTTAAAAGCAGAACATCAGGGGGCGATAGGTGGCATGGTAGTTGAGAGACTTGGATTTTCACATGGCCTACCCACTGTTCGAGTCCCAGGCATGGCACCTTGAAACTCATGCTGGGTGCATATGCATGTGGGATCAAAATCCCAAGAAGAGAGTGGAGGAGAAGGGATTGTGGCTTGACTGTCCCCTTTGGAGGTGATTTCTTGCTTTCTGTCTCTCTCTGTCCCTCTGGTGAGTACATGCATACTAAAAGCAAAATAACTCTTGGAAAAAAAAAACACCATAGTGCTGGCAGGTGACATAGAGGTTAAGGAGGCTATATCCCACATGAACCCCTAGGTAGAGTTCAAAACAATTCTGAAAAAGAAAAACAAACAGTACTCCCACTTTCCATTTTCACATCTTCCTACAAAACTAACAGTAACAAGAGGATGCTACTGGCATATACACAGACATAGAGCTGATGGTCCATAAATAAAATCCTACCTTTACAGTCCATTCATTTTTGACTAGATTGACAAGGTCATTTAATAGAGAAAGAACAGACTTATCAACAAATGGTTATGTGACAAACAACTAGATATCTACATGTAAAAGAATAAAGTTGGATTCTTCTTGTACAATCATACACAAAAAATTAACTTAAAACGATCTTTAAAGGGGCCGGCAGGTCGTATAGTAGTTAAGGCACTGGACTCCCACATGGCTGACTGCGGTTTGAGTCTCGGACTCAGTCGCTTGGACTCTGGGTGCAGGTGCTTGCATGCCCAACATCCCCAGTGAAGAATGGAGCAGAAGGGATTGCAGTGTGGCTATCTCTCCCAAGGGATGATTTCTCACTTTCCCCCCATCTCTCTAGTGAGTGCATAAGCCCTATAGCAAAAACTAGGAAAAAAAGACAAATCCTAGCCCCACTGGTT